AATGAATGAATGCCTAACGGCTACCTAAGTATGACTCCCAATCAGAGACAACGAGCTACAGCCGTCTCTGATTCGGAGCCACCCTGGCCAACATAGATAAACAACAACTAGAAGCAACACACATGAAAACTCACACCCTGGCTCAACATACTAGAGTCCCCAGAGCCAGGGCGTGACAGTACCCCCCCTCTAAAGGCGCGGACTCCGCCTTGGCGGCGGATCCGGCTCCGGGCATGATCCCCACTCGCTCTCTAACCCCCCAAAGTACCCCTGGTCCGGTCTGGCCCTGCTGACCGGAGCTGGACTGCACACTGGTGGAGTGGATTGCTCTAGCTCCGGCGTGAAGCAGCTGACCCGTGCTGAACCAGGCACCAGTGGAACAGGCACGGGCTGTGCCGGACTGACGACGCACACCACTGGCTTGGTGTGGGGAGCAGGAACGGCCCGAGCCGGGCTGACGAAACGCACCCCTGACTTGGTGCGGGGAGCAGGAGCGGGCCGAACCGGGCTGACGAAACGCACCACTGACTTGGTGCGGGGAGCAGGAACGGGCCGAGCCGGGCTGACGAAGCGCACCACTGACTTGGTGCGGGGAGCAGGAACGGGCCGAGCCGGGCTGACGAAGCGCACCACTGACTTGGTGCGGGGAGCAGGAACGGGCCGAGCCGGGCTGACGAAGCGCACCACTGACTTGGTGCAGGGAGCAGGAACGGGCCGAGCCGGGCTGACGAAGCGCACCACTGACTTGGTGCGGGGAGCAGGAACGGGCCGAGCCGGGCTGACGAAGCGCACCATTGACTTGGTGCGGGGAGCAGGAACGGGCCGAGCCGGGCTGACGAAGCGCACCACTGACTTGGTGCGGGGAGCAGGAACGGGCCGAGCCGGGCTGTCGAAGCGCACCACTGACTTGGTGCGGGGAGAAGGAACAGACCGGACCGTACTGGGGACACACACCACTGGCCCTACACCGGGATCTGGAACGGGCCGGACCGGACTGGTAACACACCCCAGTACCTCTCGCCGTGCCTCTACACCTTCCATCCCCTCTTCGACCAGTGGCCCCCATAACCTGGCGGCCTCCTCTGCCAACCCGCTGGACCGCTCTATCGCGGCCTCCTGCTGCCCCGACGTCGTGAGCCCCCCCCTAAAAAATGTCTGGGGGTCTCTCTTCCCCGTGGACCAGGCCTCTGTCGTTCTCGCCCAACTCTCGCTCTCCTGCTTCCAACTCCAGCCATTCTGCTCCTCCTTTGGCTTGACCCAGTCGAGACTCTTCCTCCACTGTTCCCAAGTCCACCCTCTCTGCTCCTCATTAGGCTTGACCCAGTCGAGGTTGCCACGGAGATCTGCTAGCGACTCCCCTGGCGATGGCTCCTGGACACGCTGCTTGGTCCAGTTTTGGTGGTTTCTTCTGTCACGTTCGTCGGGAACAGAGGACCAATGCGCAGCGTTGAATGCGAACATTTTTATTAAACAATGATCACACGAACAAAACAACAAAACGAAAACGTGACGTCCCTGGTTACATACACAAACCAACACGGAACAAGAAACCACAATGAATGAATGCCTAACGGCTACCTAAGTATGACTCCCAATCAGAGACAACGAGCTACAGCCGTCTCTGATTGGGAGCCACCCTGGCCAACATAGATAAACAACAACTAGAAGCAACACACATGAAAACTCACACCCTGGCTCAACATACTAGAGTCCCCAGAGCCAGGGCGTGACAAATGCCTACATGTTTCAAGCAGACCACCATGGAAGCCAAGGTAACCTGCCTACACGATTACCGCCCCATAGTATTCACGTTGATAGCCATGAAGTGCTTTGAAAGGCTGGTCATGGCTCACATCAACAGCATAATCCCGGATACCCTAGACCCACTCCAATTCACATATCGCCCCAACTATTCCCTTCACAGAACAGCGCAAACTGGCTCTAACCAGAATAGAAAGAGGAGTGGGAGGCCGCCGGTGCACAACTGAGCAAGAGGACAAATACATTAGAGTGTCTAGTTTGAGAAACAGGCGCCTCACAGGTCCTCAACTGGCAGCTTCATTAAATAGTACCCGCAAAACACCAGTCTCAACGTCAACAGTGAAGAGGTGACTCCGGCATGCTGACCTTCTAGGCAGAGTTGCAAAGAAAAAGCCATATCTCAGACTGCCCATCTTAATCTTTTCTTTTTGTTAGCCTTTTAAAATTATATAAACTTGGATTAGCAAACACAATGTGCCATTGGAACACAGGACTGATGGTTGCTGATAATGGGCCTCTGTACGCCTATGTAGATGTTCCATAAAAAATCAGCCGTATCCGGCTACAATAGCCATTTACAACATTAACAATGTCTACACTGTATTTCTGATCAATTTGATGTTATTTTAATGGACAAAAAAATTTGATTTTCTTTCAAAAACAAGGACATTTCTAAATGACCCCAAACTTTTGAACCTGAGTGTGTGTGTGTGTGTGTGTGTGTGTGTGTGTGTGTATATATATATATATATATATATATATATATATATATATATATATATATACATATATATACATATAATACATATACATATACATATAATACATATAGGCTAATTAAATCGTTATGGAGCGGAGCGCAGACCAAGCAGTAGCAGTTTGAACCGTTATGGACCAGAGCGCAGACCAAGCAGTAGCAGTTTGAACCCGACACATGGTGCAATACTTGGCGGTGTCATCACACTGTTCCATGGTTAGTGCAGACACTAGATGAGGGTATAGTCTACTATTGTACACTATGCTCCCTATTATAATTCCTTATAATCATCCAGCATTACCATGGGTTGAAGAACTGAATGTGGCAATTTCCAGAATGAATCAAGCTACTGTTTTCTTTCTTTCTTTCTTTCGTGTGTAAAGGCTCGCCAAACCTTTTTTTTTTTTATTATTCATAAATACTTTCCTAACCCCAAATAATCTACAAGATCAGAATATTTTTAAATCTACCAATTGGTGCTGAAACAGAGACGAATATGGATATATTTAGATTGCTTTCTTTTATTGATCCCTAATATTATTCTAGTGAGTTTGTCGACCACATTTTTACTAAAACATACACCGTATTTAAAAGGGATGGCTTAAGATAAAACTACTGAAAACCCTATTGAATGAAAAGTCCACGAGAAAATCTGTTGGCCAGCAAGTGGGAGGGTTTTTCAGCAGTTGAATGAAATGTATTCAGAGCTGCAAGGTAGCCACACCTGCAGAGCGAGTTGTGCCACTGAATAACGTAAGTCTGATGACCAAATACTGAGAAGTGTTTAGGAAAGACGTCCGTAGGAAATGCGTAAATTCCTAAGTCTGAATCGGCCCCGTAATAATTAAAATGCATGTCATTAATATAATGATTGTTTTTTTATGTGCGGTTTTCTATCATAGCAGCTCTAGGGGGACTCCTTCAACTATGGGCGTGCTGATTTATTGTTTTTCATTAGTCGGGATATTAGTGCACTAGACAGAGATCAGTGGCGGTCAGTGCCGTTTAAGATGAGGGAGGATTATCTTTTTTTTATGAGCATGGCCTTATTTCTATTACAGCATATCGGATGAATCTCATTGATATTCCATACACCCAGTTCAATGTAACAGCGATATGTTAGGGTACTACATGATACTCGCTCGAATTATCCCTATACCCATCATGAGGTTGCTACAACCTATGAATGAACGTTTACAACGTAGGTGCACACAGGTCGAGATACAACTTTGAGGTGACAGACAGTGACATTCAATACCTTTCATCTAGCTGATATAGGGTGTTTCTATTGGACAAATTCAGGTATGTTTATCCCCGTTTTGTTCCGTTTGTTTCCGTTTAAGAAACGTTTTTCCAACAGAATCAGCCGAATGAATACACCCCTGATCACGCGTAAACAGAGTTCACTCTTGTAACAGCCATGTTGTATTCCTTCTCTTCCCTTCGCTTGTCGACTTCAATGCACAACACATCAGCTGTATGTGACCAGGCGAAAAAACCTTTCCAAGCCAAACCATGTCATAACCGCTACACACAGCCTACATCGTTGTCCCCATATTAGCTGAAGTAACGTCATAGTCAGCATAGCTAACAGAACTAACGCGTTAGTAAACCCGCTACAATCATGCAGTAACGTTACAGTGTATAGTCAGTAAGCAGTTACACCGGCGGGCCCCGGTGGCAATAAATTAGTAATACCAAAAGCTTACCTTGACTTGGAAGAGTTCCAGTGTTGCGTTGGAAAGTCATAGCCATCTAGCTAACATAGCATCCCTCTGTTTGAGCAGGGTGTTTCAGTAGTCTAAACTAGCTAGCTGCATTTGCTAGCTGTAAGTGAAACTTAAAGTGAAAACAAATGACAAACTCTCTATTTCTCTCTTGCATCTCCTTCATTTAGGAAGAAATTAATTTGTTCAAAATTGTTCAACTATTGTCTTTCTCTCTTTGAGTCAACTACTCACCACATTTTATGCAGTGCTAGCTAGCTATAGTTTATGCTTTCAGTACTAGATTAATTCTCAGATCCTTTGATTGGGCGGACAACATGTCAGTTCATGCTGCAAGAGCTCTGATAGGCTGGAGGATGTCCTCCGGAAGTTGTCATAATTACTGTGCAAGTCTATGGAAGGGGGTGAGAACAATGAGCCTCCTAGGTTTTGTATTGAAGTCAATGTACCCAGAGGAGGACGGAAGCTAGCTGTCCTCCGGCTACACCATGGTGCTACCCTACAGAGTGCTGTTGAGGCTACTGTAGACCTTCATTGCAAAACAGTGTTTTAATCAGTTATTTGGTAACGTGATTATATTTAGTATAGTTCTATCTAACAAATATAACTTTTTAAAATGTTTTACCATTTTAATTTTTATGAAATTCACTGAGGATTGTCCTCACCTTCCTCCTCAGAGGAGCCTCCACTGGCAGAGATGGAGTAGAAAGAGGAGTAGCGAGAGAAGGAGGGAGGGAGGGAAGGAGGGAAAGAGGATGGTGGGAGTAGGGAAGGAGCCAGGAGGGATGGTGGGAGTAGGGAAGGAGGGAAAGAGGATGGTGGGAGTAGGGAAGGAGCCAGGAGGGATGGTGGGAGTAGGGAAGGAGGGAAAGAGGATGGTGGGAGTAGGGAAGGAGCCAGGAGGGATGGTGGGAGTAGGGAGGGAGGGAAAGAGGATGGTGGGAGTAGGGAAGGAGCCAGGAGGGATGGTGGGAGTAGGGAAGGAGCCAGGAGGGATGGTGGGTTGTGTGATGTTCAGTTCCAGTGTGTGTGTGATGAGTCACAAACTCTGGGATGTGTGTGGAATACCAGTGGCATGTCACACTTGTTGCTAAAATGTATCTGTCTTCTTGGCTCCCCTCAGGCCTGCCTCTGCCCACCAGTTTAAATTGATTGTTTTGACAAACTGATTGTTAAGGCACTGGAAAAGACAGAAGGGGATATAAGATCGATAATTTTGTAAATGGTGTTTATTCCTGACTGTTTTTCAAAAGCACTTCACAAACTCTCACACCATAATATTACATTTTCTCACCTGCCCTTATGCTGTAAAACTCACCTGCCCTTATGCTCTCCTATAGCGCGACGGCTCTGAGAGGAGATGAGGCGAGAGAGAGCAGATAGCGAGAGGAGAGAGAGAGGAGAGGAGAGAGCGAGAGAGAAGAGCTTCATACTCTCTCTCTCTCTCTATCTTAGTCGTTCTCTCTCTCTCTCTCCTCCTCGCTATCTCTCTCTCTATCTGGTCTCTCTCTCTCTCTCTCTCTCTCTCTCTCTCTCCCCAGGCAATGCCACTGTTTTATGGTGTACCTGCTGTACCAGTGTCTTCAAGTCGGTGACCAGTTGCTTCATTAAGAACCTGGCGTGTTCTGGGATCTGTGCGGGTCTGGTGTGTGTTCCCTTCGATGTGGCTCTAGGGGCCAGTCCTCGCTGCTGCTGGTGGCTCCATACTCTGCTGCTCTGCAAGGCCCTGAAGTTCCTCCACAAACTCTTCTGCTCCGTCACCGTGCTCAGCTTCGCTGCTATCGCACTTGACAGGTGGGTGATTGCTGGAAAATCAAACTGCACTGCTGGTAGCTGCAACATATTGCTTACTGGTCCCATCTGTTCAGATCTGTCTAGGGGGGACTGCTAGCGGTTGATTCTTGCCTGACATTTAGGTGCAGTAATAAAGCATATGTCCTGTGTTCATGCTTTTATTTATTTATACATGTGGAAAGCCACACAGTGGGGAAATTGCTTGATCTTGTAAACACAGATCTTTAAAGGACCCCCCCCCCCCCCCTCCCCCCAGAGGAAGTTGGCGCCACTATTTCAATGTAATTTCCTGTCGCTTAGATTCCACATCCTCCAAAGAATGACGACTGCTACGTATACATATTCATGAACTGGGTCTGGGTTGATAAATGTCAACAAATAGTCTGACAGTTGTCAGTGTAGCTAGCTATCATGCTAACCTTGTCTTGCTAGCTAATCTGTTGTTGCTGTTTTTGTACTGTATTCAAAAGATTAGCCAGATGGTTCTATGACTGGTTCTGGAGCTGAATTTGTCATAAGCATTGATTTAGGGAAAACTTCACCACAGATGGAAACCACTGGCCTGTCTTTGACTTCACCTCATATGGAAACCACTAGACTTCACCACAGATGGAAATAGTTAGAAAGAATAAGATGATCTATGGCTGGTTCTGGAGCTGGGGTTCTGGAGCTGGGGTTCTGGAGCTGGATTTGTCATAAGCATTGTGTTTCTACATTGTAATGGACACGGTGCAACTTTTTGTAAGTAGGCTGCTGGCAGGCTTCGGCTCCGGTACAGCAACGCCAAGTCAGCCCGTGCTCATGGTTCTCACAGGGGAAGTGAAATGATAGGCTACAATGACTTTGCTCATGATCCGTGATTTTTTTCTCACAGGTGCCTTTTCATTATCTGGATAGACACTTGTGGTTTCTAGCTAATGTTACACCAATCAAATCAGGGGTGCGTGTAGTGAAGCAAATCTTTAGTGGTCAAAACCATTCATCTTGGGAGGGGGGTCATATATATATGTATGTATGTATGTATATATAGATATTGTGTGTGTGTATGTATATATGTTTTTATACAGACTAGCTAAAAGATAAGTGAAAATGGACAAATTATCCAACTGATTATGATAATTTTCGGGTATTTTTTTTTATTTGCTCCATGGCTCAGGCGGCCATGTTGACACAAGGCTGTTTGTCTTATCTCAGTCACCAAGAGGAAGACATGTGCAGCTGTTTTAATAAACAATGCCATGCTGGTGGGTGGTAACATTCAAATAAAACCCAGCCCTCCCTTATGGAAAAAACACATGAATGTGAAGTGTTACAAAAACTAATGTGATCACGTGATCTTATGTGAAGTTAATGTGATAACATGTGACAAAATGTAAAGCAACATGTGATAACATGAAACTTACACGTGAAAACGTGATCACATGTGAAGTGTTCCAAAAACACGTTTTCACATGATTTCAGATCTGAAATTTCACTTGAAATCATGTGATTTTCCACTTGTGAAATCATGTGGTTTTTCTGTAAGGGCTGAAACGAAACAGGCTGAAAATAATTTCTATGTCATATTATAGGAAAAGACACCGCATTCACATGGATTTGCACGAAGTGGTCAGTTTGGATTTGTCACTTCAAGCCCAAATATATCATACTTTGACTAAAACAATGACTTATTGACTTAAACCATTGTGCAACATCATGGGTAAGCTCTGGCTGTCGTCTTTCAGCTCGAAAAAGTGGATTTCTACTGGTATGGGCGTTTTTAAAATTGAAAACAGTATAATCTGTTTTTGTACCAGACCAAAACCTCCCTCTATCTCTACTCACCCCCCATAGTGCGGAGACGGGCTGTAATTGATGCAGCATGTGTACTCCACTCTGCCTGGTGGTGTGTCTCTCCTGCAGAGCTCCTTGTTCTGACCTGCAGCCAAAATAACTGACAGTCCACAGGGAGGGACTCTCTCCCTGACTCTACACACACACTATTCTTTCCTCTCCACTTTTATTTTCCTTCACTGCTACTCTCACTCACTCACCTCTCTCTTCCTTCACTGCTACACTCACTCACTCACTTCTCTCCTCTTCCTTCACTGCTACACTCACTCACTCACTCAGTCACTCACTCACTCACTCACTCACCTCTCTCTTCCTTCACTGCTACACCCACTCACTCACTCATTCACTCACCTCTCTCTTCCTCCACTGCTATACTCACTCACTCACTCAATCACTCACTCACCTCTCTCTTCCTTCACTGCTACACTCACTCACTCACCTCTCTCTTCCTTCACTGCTACACTCACTCACTCACTCACCTCTCTCCTCTTCCTTCACTGCTACATTCACTCACTCACCTCTCTCCTCTTCCTTCACTGCTACACTCACTCACTCCCCTCTCTCTTCCTTCACTGCTACACTCACTCACTCACCTCTCTCTTCCTTCACTGCTACACTCACTCACCTCTCTCTTCCTTCACTGCTACACTCACTCACTCACTTCTCTCCTCTTCCTTCACTGCTACACTCACTCACTCACCTCTCTCTTCCTTCACTGCTACACCCACTCACTCACTCATTCACTCACCTCTCTCTTCCTCCACTACTGTACACTCACTCACTCACTCACTCACTCACTCACTCCTCACTCACTCCACTCACATCACTCACTCACTCTCTCTCTTCCTCACTGCTACACTCACTCAACTCACTCTCTCCTCTTCCTTCACTGCTACATCACTCACTCACCTCTTCCTCTTCCTTCACTGCTACACTCACTCACTCCCTCGTCTCTCCTTCACTGCTACACTCACTCACTCACCCTCACTTCCTTCACTCTACACTCACTCACTCACCTCTCTCCTCTTCCTTCACTGCTACACTCACTCACTCACTCACTCACTCACTCACTACTCACCACATCACTCACTCACCTCTCTCCCTTCCTCATGCACACTCACTCACCTCTCTCTTCCTTCACTGCAAACGCACTCACTCACTCTCGCCTTTCCTTCACTGCGGTACTTCACTCACCTTCTCTGCATTCACTGCTGACACGCACTCACTCACCCTCTCTTCTCTTCACGGCTTCACTCCTCATCACTCACTCATCACTCACTCACTCAACCCACGCACTCAATCACTCACTCACTCTCACTCACTCACTCCACTAAATCTCTCCTGCTTCCTTCACTGCTACACTCAGAAATCCCACTCAACCTCTCTCCCCTTCCTTCACTGCAACACTCACTCACTCACTCACTCACCTATCTCTTCCTTCACTGCTACACTCACTCATTCACTGCTTTCCATGTCTGCTTCTCTCCTCTATACCATAATCTCTGTGGGAATGCACACACACACACACCACACACACACACTACAGACACACCACCTATTCACCTACTCACACATACATAAGAAACTATCAAAATATGTGTCTTCTGTGCACACAGACTCTTCACACCTCAGTAAGATATTTCTCTCTCTCTCTCTCTCTGTCTTCCACTTGCTCCATTTAGCCACCCAAAACACCCACTTACACTCATTCATACTGGAGTATCTGTTCTCCTCAACCAGTGAAGGGTTCTGTGAATGAGAGAGGGAAACAATGATATATTTACTATTGTTGTTCTTCAGTCTATTTCCAAATGTTCCTCCTCTCTTTCCTCTGCAGGGTAGTTTACATGTGTATTTGACCCACCTAGTTACAGTGAGGGAAAACAGTATTTGATCCCCTGCTGATTTTGTACGTTTGCCCACTGACAAAGACATGATCAGTCTATAATTTTAATGGTAGGTTTATTTGAACAGTAAGAGACAGAATAACAACAACAAAAATCTCACTCCCCTCTCTCTTCCTTCACTGCTACACTCACTCACTCCCCTCTCTCTTCCTTCACTGCTACACTCACTCACTCACTCACTCACTCACTCACTCACTCACTCACTCACTCACTCACTCACTCACTCACTCACTCACTCACTCACTCACTCACTCACTCACTCACTCACTCACCTCTCTCCTCTTCCAAGAAAAGTTAAAACAGTTGCTTTCCATGTCTGCTTCTCTCCTCTATACCATAATCTCTGTGTAATGCACACACACACACACACACACACACACACACACACACACACACACACACACACACACACACACACACACACACACACACACACACGCACACGCACGCACACACACACACACACACACACACCCACACACACACACACACACACACACACACACACACACACACACACACACACACACACGCACACACCCACACACACACACACACACACCTATTCACCTACTCACACATACATAAGAAACGATCAAAATATGTGTATTCTGTGCACACAAGACTCTTCACACCTCAGTAAGATATTTCTCTCTCTCTCTCTCTCTGTCTTCCACTTGCTCCACTTAGCCACCCAAAACACCCACTTACACTCATTCATACTGGAGTATCTGTTCTCCTCAACCAGTGAAGGGTTCTGTGAATGAGAGAGGGAAACAATGATATATTTACTATTGTTGTTCTTCAGTCTATTTCCATATGTTCCTCCTCTCTTTCCTCTGCAGGGTAGTTTACATGTGTATTTTACCCACCTAGTTAGTTAGGTAGGTAGGTAGGTATAGCAAGGTTAGTTTAGATCAGGGGTAGGCAACTAGATTCAGCTGCAGGACGATTTTTGTCTGAGTGAATGGTCACGGGGCCAGAAAATAATTATAATAATTTGTACACTGCAAATTGACCACAACTAAGCCCAAAAAGAGACTGTATTTGAAAATAACAATAATTTAATAACTTGATTACATTGAGGCACGATCATGTCTCTTTTCTTTTTGTGGGAATACTTGGGAACAGATTTCTTAAATTAAACTCGTTTTTTTCCCCCCACAACAAAAAAAATATCTTGATCCGTGTTGCTGACCTCTGGTCTAGAGAGAAGGTCAAAAAGAGTCCTATATAATAATATGTGCCATTTAGTCGACCATTTAGCAACATTTTACGTATGGGTGGCCCCGGTAATTGAACCCACAATCCTGGTGTTGCAAGCGCCATACTCTACCAACTGAGTCAATACAGAGAAAGAGGTCACTGGGGTCTGGCCACTCAGGATGTGTTTGCTGTGAAGCGACAACTAATTTACAATGGACTACTGGACTACAGAGTATTCATCCAACAGCAGCTGGACTACAGAGTATTCATCCAACAGCAGCTGGACTACAGAGTATTCATCCAACAGCAGCTGCACTACAGAGTATTCATCCAACAGCAGCTGGACTACAGAGTATTCATACAACAGCAGTATCCACTCCAGAGAGTCTTCCATCTACATCAGGGGTGTCAAACTCATTTTAGCTCAGGGGCCACATGGAGGAAAATCTATGCCCAAGTGGGCCGGACCGGTAAAATCATGGTATATATAACTTAAAAACAACAACTTCAGATTGTTTTCTTTGTTTTAATACTATCAACATAAAACATAAAGCCGGAGCCTGAGGACAGTGTGTCCAAAATAGTACAAGCACAACATCACTATTAATCATAAGACACCTGAAGTTTATTTGAAAATTCTAAAGAAAAAGAACACACAAACACACAATGCCTCAGTGATTCACATAACTGTTTCACAGATCACAGAACTATATCAGGGTGTCATTTCTCAGGCAGAAATGTAGATACAAATAATGAAATCCTGTTCCCCAAACAAGTGCAAGAACCACAGAGTCAAGAATAGGTTAAATATACAAATAAAATAAAATCAATTAAAAACAATAGCACATCAACATAAAAACATATAAACATAAAGCTGGAGCCTGAGGACAGTGTCCAAAAGCACAACATCACTATTAATCATAAAACACCTCAAGTTATTTGAAATTCTGAGGACAAACAACACACAAACACACAATGCCTCAGTGATTCACAGAAGTATATAACAGATCACAGAACTATATCAGGGTGTCTCATGCAGCACTTTAAGTGGGGTTGCATAGTTTATTTGACTCCTGATACCTGGCATCTTTTAGCTTTCACCAGCGCATCAATATCAGGCGTCACATCCTGAGTGGCAGCCAACTTCAGGATGTGATTCAAGTGCTTGTGCGTGAGCCTTGAGCGCAGCTTTGTTTTATTTATGCTCATTACAGAGAACTTGCTCACAAAGATATGTGGTTCCAAACATGCACAACAGTTTTGCAGCGAGGGCTGTCAAGTTGGGGTAACCTGGCAAGAGATTCTGATAAAATGTGTCCAAGCCAGCTGCGGCAAATTTGCCCTTCAAATCCGAGTCACACTGCAAGTCTATTATTTCAAGTTGGATGCTGACGGGCAGATCAGAGGGATTCACAGTGAATGGCGAACAAAAAACATTGAAGTCTTTCTCCAGTTCACCAAAAATCTGAAAGCGTTGCTCAAACTCCCTTAACAGTCCCGTTATTTTATCTTTGAACCGCTTCATGTCTGCCACATGTTGGGTCGCGCACACATTTTTCAGACAGGGGAAGTGAGCTGCATCACCACCGGCGAGTTGCGTCTCCCACAATGACAGCTTCAACTTGAAAGAACGTATGCTGTCATAATACTGCGTGGCAACTTTGTTGCGCCCTTGCAGCTGTTTGTTCAAGTTATTCAGGTGCTCTGTAACATCCACCATAAATGCAAGGTCCTGCATCCATTCTGCGGAATTAAATTCTAACACTGGTTTGCCCTTTTCTTCCATGAACTGTTCAATTTCTTCTCGTAAATCAAAGAAACGCCTCAGCACAGCACCTCGGCTTAACCATCTTACCTCAGTGTGGTATGGCAGGCCATAGATGTGGTCTTTCTCTCTGAGAAGGCTGTCAAACTGACGGTGATTCAGGCTTCTGGATCGGATGAAATTAACAGTTTGGATGACCACCTTCATGACGTTATCCATCTTTAATGACTTGCAACACAAAGCCTCCTGGTGCAAAATACAGTGAAAAGTCCAAAAATCACGTCCTCCATTTGCAGATTGCACTTTCTCTCTGAACTTTGTCACAACGCCTGCTTTTTTCCCGATAATTGAGGGCGCACCATCTGTAGCCAGGCTGACAGCGCGGGACCAGTCCACTCCGACCCTGTCCAGCGCGCCGACGAGTGCAGTGAAAATATCAGCTGCTGTCGTTGTATCTGTCATCGGCACCAACTCCACGAACTCCTCGGTGACGGTCAATGTGTCATCAACTCCGCGGATGAAAATGGCCAGTTGTGCAACATCTGTAATGTCCGTGCTTTCATCAATTGCAACCGAAAACGCAATAAATGACTTTACATTTTTGCTTCAACTGGCTGTCCAAATCCACTGAAAGATCGGAAATCCTGTCTGCAACTGTGTTTCTTGTCAGGCTGATATTTGCAAAAGCCTGGTGCTTTTCAGGGCACACAATCTCTGCTGCCTTCATCATGCATGTTTTTACAAATTCACCCTCACTAAATGGTTTTGAAGCCACTGCGATTTAATTAGCAATGAGGTAGCTAGCTTTCACTGCAGCGTCACTGATGTCTCGGCTGTGAGTAAACACAGACTGCTGTTTCTTCAGACCCACCAACAGTTCATTCACCTTCTCTCTTCTCCGCTGTCCTTGAAAGTTGTCATATTTGTCGGCATGAAGACTCACATAGTGGCGACGAAGGTTATATTCTTTCAGCACTGCAACATGCTGTGAACACACCAAACATACAGCTTTCCCATTCAATTCCGTGAATAAATAGAAGGATGACAATTTTTCTTGGAACACTCTGCACTCTGCGTCCACTTTTCTCTTTTTTGACAGAGACATATTGGGGCAATGAGGGTGCCAAAGCACATAATGTTAAAAGTAGAAGCCGTAATAAATATCGCGGGCAAAACAAAGTAGCTCATCCGGACTGGCTGCACTTGCTTGACCTATTTGCTCTGCCCCGGTATAAACAGTTTGCTTGCTTAACACAATTGCTATTGCGCCATCCAGTGGACACAATTGGAACAGCAGTTTATTTTATTGAAAAATTGCAGCTCATTTTTATACTTTACAAAATCATCTCGCGGGCCGGATTAAACCCGTTTGCGGGCCTGATCCGGCCCGCGGGCCGGACGTTTGACACCCCTGATCTACATAATCTAATAAGGCTTTCCTGTTGTTGTGATAGCTACTAGCTATAGTAGGACGGTTTACATCAAACACACAGGAAAATGAACAATTACAAGAACACAATTATTTACCTTCTATTGTCTTCTCTGCTGTTTCCAAGAGAGTCCTCCTCTGTGTCTGCTGTCTGCTCTAATGAGAGATACCTGCTCCTAGTGCTCAAACCGTATCCTTGGTAACTACTACTGTCCTGTCTACGTCTAACACACAAAGCCTTGGTAACTACTACTGTCCTGTCTATGTTTAACACACAAAGCCTTGGTAACTACTACTGTCCTGTCTACGTCTAACACACAAAGCCTTGGTAACTACTACTGTCCTGTCTACGTCTAACACACAAAGCCTTGGTAACTAATACTGTCCTGTCTACGTCTAACACATAAAGCCTTGGTAACTACTACTGTCCTGTCTACGTCTAACACACAAAGCCTTGGTAACTACTACTGTCCTGTCTACGTCTAACACACAAAGCCTTGGTAACTAATACTGTCCTGTCTACGTCTAACACACAAAGCCTTGGTAACTACTACTGTCCTGTCTATGTCTAACACACAAAGCCTTGGTAACTACTACTGTCCTGTCTACTTCTAACATGCAAAAGAAATTAGCACAAGAAAAATAACAGAATGCTTTCAGGATATACCTTTTCTTCTTCTGTTCTCTGTTGCTTTTGTTTAGAAGAAGTATCTAAAGGTTAATGACCTGTCCTCTGTTCTCCTCTCTAGGTACTACTCTGTCCTCTACCCTCTGGAGAGGAAGATCTCGGACGCCAGATCACGTGACCTTGTCATCTACATTTGGATCCACGCCACCATCGCCAGCGTGCCCGTGTTCGCCGTAACCAACGTTACGGACGTGTACGTAACCTCGTCATGTTCCGACGCCCGCGCCCGCTCCCTGGGTCACATGGTCTACGTGGTGACATACAACGTAACCACGGTGATCCTCCCGCTCGTCATCGTCTTCCTGCTAATGGTCCTGATTCGCCGAGCCCTCAGCGCCAGCCAGAAGAAGAAGGTGATCATCGCGGCGTTGAGAACCCCTCAGAACTCCATCTCCATCCCTTATGTCTCTCAACGCGAGGCTGAGCTACATGCTACGTTACTGGCTGTGGTGTTAGCCTTCTCAGCCTGTAGCGCCCCCTATGGGGCGTTGGTGGTATACCGCACTCTTCTCGGGGACAGGGAGGACTTGTCCCCTTTTCTCCATCTCACGGCCATCTGGCTGCCCAAGGTGTCTCTCCTTACCAACCCTCTGCTGTTTCTGACAGTGAACCGCTCGGCCAGGCGCTGCCTGTGTGATGTTCTAGTCCGGGTACACAGATGCTACAGCCGGCGTAACGTAGTCAGCACTGGGGCCCTGGGGCTGGGGCTGAGGGGCGAGGGGGGCCCTGGGGCCCTGGAGGGGTCTGCTCGGGCCGGGAGCCAGCTCCTGGAGATGTTTAATATCGGGCAGCAGCAGATCTTTAGGCCGACCGATGAAGAGGAGGAGGTGGAGAATGAGATACCTTCGTCAGTGGTGGGGGGCTGTTCTTGTCCCAAAGAGAACTACCACCAGGGAGGAGGAGGAGGGAGACAAGGGGGACATGGAGGGAAGGTGGTTCTTCAGAAAGAGACCGAACCAACCAGAGAGAGCGTCCTGGTAACTAAAGAACAACCTCCTCTCATATTGCCCGAGCTCTCCCCTGTCCACGCCTGTGCTTACACCTCCTCGTCACAGGTGGCGCCAGCGACCCCCACAGAGCCCGAGGACGCCACCCAGTTTGGGTTCGGGCCGTTCGAGCTGCCGCCCCAGTGGCTGCCGGAGACCAGGAACAGTAAAAAGAGGCTCCTCCCACCTCTAGGGAACACCCCCGAGGAACTGATCCAGACCAAACAGCCACGCCCAAGGCCAGAACGACGAATCAGCAGGAACAACAAGGTCAGCACCTTCCCTACGTCGACCCCTGAACTATGAACCCTGGCCATTGACCTTTGAACTGATGACCCCTGATGACAGCTATGGCTGGAGATCAGTATGTGGATGATTTTTGATCCATTTTGTGTCAATGACTGGATACAAAGTCAGTGGAGGAAACCCCACCTGACCAGTCACCTGACCAGTCACCTGTCCAGCCACCTGACCAGCCACCTGACCAGCCACCTGACCAGTCACATGACCAGCCACATGACCAGTCACATGACCAGTCACCTGACCAAGGGCCCCCTGTAAGAGAGAACAGGGATGTACAACTCCAGAGCTCGATGAGTCTGCCTCATTGTTGATTCTCCCTGCCGTGTAATGGATACATTTTATGTCAATGACTGGCAAGATTCTAAAAGGCCGCACACCGACGCCTAAGAGCCAAGGTTGTTTTTTCTGGAGACGTTGGTCGACCCAGATTTCATTGTGGTCCTTTGTAGCTCAGTTGGTAGAGCATGGTGTTTGTAACGCCAGGGTAGTGAGTTTGATTCCTGGGATCATCCATACAAAAAAATGTGTGCATGCCTGACTGTATGTCACTTTGGATAATTGGCATATATATTACATTATTATTATTATCCCCAATGTCCTGGATTGGATGTTCTCGCTTAAAAAATAAATAATTATTATCTTTCCAAGAAACAGTTGATTTGTACTGGCACTGCTAACAGAGCAGCGGGGGTTAAAACCTTTTCTATTTCTCTGTTTTATTCAACATAATTAGCCCAATCAATTCAATCTAGTTGATTTCTAAGAAAAGTTTGGACTTCAGGCAATGATGTATTGAACATACACATGGATAATTGAGTCACACAAATACTGGATGATTCATAGATCCTGGGTGAGACATTTGAAGTTAAATAAGAGTGTTTCCCAAGGTGTTTTTCCAAAACATCTTCTAACATGATTAAACTATCATCATCAAGTCTGAAATAATGAGTGAGTTTCTGTATCAAACCTTTCACTTTTATGGCAATATCGTGTCTCCATAGCTATTGTATTTTCTGTGAGTTGTTTTTCATCAAAAGGAACCAGCTATATTTCATTTTTTTTTTACATCTGTAAAGCCTTTAACCATAGCTGTTCCCTATGTGGGTTTAATCTGCATTATATGTTATCTTGAGTTCCTTCTCTAGGGTAGAACATTTGTCTTCAGATGTGTTGAATATCATTCCTTTCCAATGCCAACCCTTTGTACCGCAGATGCAGTGACTTCAATGAAATGAATGACACGATAAGTGCAATTGTACAGTATGCAAATATAGTATAAAATAACTTTGAATTAACTGAATTTTATGATCCTTGTGTTTTGCTCATATTCTATTATGAAACTCTTCTAAAACAGTGTTCGTCAACCTCCGGTTGGTTCCTGGATCGGCAGTGGAATATTGCTTTCAGGTCCCTGAGATGCTAGAGTGTTAGTTTTGATGTAAACTGTACCCCAGGAGGGGAAAAAAAACACATAGCTTCCAAATCCTAGCCTGGTCCCAGATCTGTTTCTGCTCTTGCCAACTCCATTGCTCAAACCAATGAGTGCACAAGGAGTTGGCATTATAGCACAAATCGAATTCCATTGGTCACATACACATATTTAGCAGATGTTATTGCGGGTGTAGCGAAAAGCTTGTGTTCCTGGCTCCAACAGTGCAGTAGTATCTAACAATTCACAACAATACGCACAAATCTAAAAGTAAAAAACAAAAAAATGGAATTAAAAAATCTGCCAGTCCCTGTTATGAACCGGATTGAGAAACACTGCTCTATTGGGTCATCCGTAGTAGAGGGTCGGTCCAAAATGGCCTATTTTCTATATAGTCTACTGCTTTTTACCTATGGGCCTGGTCAAAAGTAATACACTATGAAGGGAATAAGGTGCTATTTAGGATGCAGTCGAAGAGAAGCTGGAGTGAGTAAGTGAGGGGAAAGGGTTCCGTGTGATTAGATCTACCTACCAAGTCTCCGCGGATCAATTATATTGACTCTGCAGAGGAGCTGCGGATCAATACTCTGACTGCTCCATTTACAACACACTCGGCATGGTATAAATGAAATGAACCTCTGACGAATGAGAAATTCATATAGGCCTAACGAAAGTCTCTCGATCAATAGTCAGATTTAATTTATAACCCTTATATAAAGATCTTTTTTTTTTTGTAGCGTTCAAGCCACAAGGTCGGAATCATGTACTTTGTCATTCAGTTTTAAAAAATCAAACAAAAAACGATGGTGGTCACTGACTGAGATTTATATGCTATCTAGTATGTCAACATAACAAAAGGATAGTCATGTTTTGGCTATAATGTTTCGGTTACAGCACCAACTGTTAATACTAAATTGTAATTATTTTTGCACTATGGCCTATTTATTGCCTTACCTCCATAACTTACTACATTTGCACACACTGTATATAGATTTTCTATTGTGTTATTGACTGTACGTTTTGTTTTACCCCATATGTAACTCTGTGTTGTTGTTGTTTTTAATCGCACTGCTTTGCTTTATCTTGGCCAGGTCGCAGTTGTAAATGAGAACTTGTTCTCAACTGGCTTACCTGGTTAAATAAAGGTGAAAAAAGTAATAAATAAAAATAAAAACGAATCCCACGTCATAACAGAAAAATCATCCATCGTATTTTCCCTTCCTTGATATCGAAGGTGAAAGCCCTGGAGTGACAGACCCTTGTCTTTCAATTACCTTCTGACGCTGAGAGAGTCGTCTTTAAATATATGGAACTAAATATAAATGCAACATGCAACAATTTCTAAAGATTTTGCTGAGCTACAGTTCATATAAGGAAATCAGTCAATTGAACTAAATTAATTAGGCCCTAATCTATGGATTTCACATGACTGGGAATATGTTGCGTGTGTGTGTGTGTGGTATATGTTGCGTGTGTGTGTGTGTGTGTGTGTGTGTGTGTGTGTGTGTGTGTGTGTGTGTGTGTGTGTGGTATATGTTGCGTGTGTGTGTGTGTGTGTGTGTGTGTGTGTGTGTGTGTGTGTGTGTGTGTGTGTGTGGTATATGTTGCGTGTGTGTGTGTGTGTGGTATATGTTGTGTGTGTGTGTGTGTGTGTGTGTGGTATATGTTGCGTGTGTGTGTGTGTGTCTCTCAGTCAACAGATCTCAACCCAATTGAACACTTTCTGGAGCGGCGCCTTAGAAAGCGTTTTCCACCACCACCAACAAAACACCAAATTATTTATTGTGTAAGAATGTTGTCGCATCACTCCAATAGAGTTCCAGACACTTGTAGAATCTATGCCAAGGTTCATTGAAGCTGTTCTGGCTCGTGGTGGCCCAACGCCCTATTAAGACACTTTATGTTGATGTTTCCTTTATTTTGGCAGTTACCTGTATATAGGGACTGAATGTAAGCATTGTTAAAGGCTTAACATAGTTTGATATATTTCTATAAGCAGGTAATTCATTTTTGCCAGAATGTATAGGCCTATTTAATCCTGTGGGTTCGTGGAATGCAGTGGTATCAACCCCCTGCTGTTAATTCCCTAATGAGGTTAACCAATAAATCAACGGAGCATCTACTAGTGAGTCTGGCCTCCTTATGCTAGACCCTGCATGTAGAGCAGTGGCATCTGTCGTTGAATCAAACGATTGCTTCTCTTCTCCAGGAGTAGAGAGAATATTCCAAGACCTCCCGAGTGGCGCAGTGGTCTGAGGCTCTGTCGTAGCCGGCTGCGACCGGGAGACCCATGGGGCGGCGCACAATTGGCCCAGCGTCGTCCAGGGTAGGGGGAGGGAATGGCCGGCAGGGATGTAGCTCAGTTGGTAGAGCATGGCGTTTGCAACGCCAGGGTTGTGGGTTCGTTTCCCACGGCGGGCAAGTATGAAAAATACAAAATAATGTGTGCACTCACTAACTGTAAGTCGCACTGGATAAGAGCATCTGCTAAATGACGTAAATGTAATTGGATGAAAGAATTTTGGAAATCTTAAAGAATTACAAGATTTGCTTCCACTTCCAAGAGTAAAGGAAATGTACAATATGTTGCACCTAATAGGATTTCCATGTTTTCTGTGCGATAAATGACCTCCATATGGTATTCAGTCTAGACAAAGTTTATGACTAATGTGAAGCTTACTGCGTACGTAAGAACTCCTAATGTACTTTCCTAGGAGCATAACTAGGAATGTACCTCTTAAGACCTTTACTTAAGAGGTGTTTTGACTTTTAGTATTCATGTTTTAAGACCTGTTAACAACAACATCATGTTTTGACTTTTAGTATTCATGTTTTAAGACCTGTTAACAACAACATCATGTTTTGACTTTTAGTATTCATGTTTTAAGACCTGTTAACAACAACATCATGTTTTGACTTTAGTATTCATGTTTTAAGACCTATTAACAACAACATCATGTTTTGACTTTTAGTATTCATGTTTTAAGACCTGTTAACAACAACATCATGTTTTGACTTTTAGTATTCATGTTTTAAGACCTGTTAACAACAACATCATGTTTTGACTTTTAGTATTCATGTTTTAAGACCTGTTAACAACAACATAATGTTTTGACTTTAGTATTCATGTTTTAAGACCTGTTAACAACAACATCATGTTTTGACTTTAGTATTCATGTTTTAAGACCTGTTAATAACAACAATTTCATGTTTTGACTTTTAGTATTCATGTTTTAAGACCTGTTAACAACAACATCATGTTTTGACTTTTAGTATTCATGTTTTAAGACCTGTTAACAACAACATAATGTTTTGACTTTAGTATTCATGTTTTAAGACCTGTTAACATCAACATAATGTTTTCACTTTAGTGCCTTATAACTTGTTAGGATGAATTTTGAAGACTCAAGCTATGGGCTTCTGTAGCCATGTGCAAATGACACTATAGCTCCAAACCTGTTTTAAATACTTTCCTAACTCTAAATAATATACAAGATCAGAGTATTTTTTTAATCTACCAACTGGTGCTGAAAAGGAGACAAATTTACATGGCTTTCTTTCATTGATCCCTAAT